GCTGTTTCACGTGAGTCTGTCCTTTCTTCGGATAACCTATATTACTTCGATACGTGCTAAAGGCATTCACTATACTCAGATAATCGTGTTAGTAATAAAAATAATAAATAAATAAACACATTAATTTGGGAAACACTACAGGAAGACCATGTACCATCAAGACCGTCGCAGAAAACACTTTTTGTATCATTAGTAAGGAAAATAGGAATGATTTTAGCAGCCATTACAGTTCAGGCTTAATTAAAATATATCCAGTGTCTTCACGTCATTTCTCCTACACCAAGCCCTTGATGGCATACATAAACACGTCGGTGGTTATTTCGGGAAATAGGTCTGACACAGTAAGGTTCTGATACAGTAATCGTTGCTCCTAGTTATGCCGAAAATGCCATTCTGCCATTCTGCCATTGGTGCGACGAAATTCGAGTGCCTTTCATCCACTGTCTTATATGCTCAAAATCTAACGTTCCTCTTGAAAGAAATATTTCCTGGTAGATCGGCTGAAGTAATTAAGTAGTTGCAAACACTGATGGAGAAGGCATTAAAAATAATTTACTGCATATACTTCGACCGTGAATGGTCCAGCATTGAATGAATGCTGGCCCAAAGTGGGTGTATAAACGGTGGCGGTCACCGCGTTGAATCAATGTTGAAGTAACATGGATGTAACAACGGTGATACATTCAATCCATACCCCAGTGAACAATGATTCAACGCCTCATTCCAAACACGTCGGTGTCTATATCGGGGACGACAATACCAGATTTCGAACTCCTGCTTTGCGTTACCTAGGTGGCCCTTGTGATTCAATAGTCACAGTGCCACTAAACTCTATCGTCCAGGTGCCCCACCCCTAGGAAACTAAGGTTTGAAGTTCAGGGTTACTAGACTGCCTATTGCAACGTTGCTTGCAAAACCATTTTTAACGATTTTTTTTGGGAAAAAATAATTTATTTTTTGTCTAATCAAGAAGTCGGACATGTGACAGAATACGCGTTTGAATGCGAGCGTGGTTCGTAGAATGCCTCTCTCCCGTTGTAATGTTAGGGATGACATGGAAAGAAGTAGAGACAGACTGGAGTTTCGTGGTGTAGTGATAGCACGTTTGCCTCGTAATCAGGAAGTCTAGGGTTCGAATCGCATCATTTTGATTTTAGACTTCTTATGCTACCCGAACTCTTCCACCACCCGCCTCGGGCTATTAAGTTCTCGAGAATGGATCCGACAGTCGCAAGGTCCGGAAAAAAAGTGCTCCTCCGTGAGAGGGAGACGTACACCCGAGGCAGGCAGAAAGCGACGCACATGCGCACATGGACTTGCGGACATGCATTCAGACCCAAGCATCGGAGGCTTCATATGCACGAACGCAGCTTCATTGTGTTTTTAATATATAGGACTAGCTGAAGCACCCGGCCTTGCCCGGGAAATTCAATATTTCATGCATGAAAAATTGGGGAACGTAAGCCTTATAGTCTCCTATAAGTTATCGATCTTGGGTGTCGCAAAATGCGGTCGGACCCCTTTCCCTTTTTAAATTTTCTTTTGCACGCTTTGAATAATTTCTAAATTATTTTTAAGGGAAAAAACTTCTTGGAAAAATGCTTTTATCGTTTTGAAACATATTTTCCATGAAAACTTGATCAAAAGAATATTACTTACTACCTACTGTAGTGATCCAGAAATGGGATTACCCCGGGATACTGTAATGCAGGTGGCCGGGAGGGGAGAGTTTGATGACATGATAGGACAAAAAAAAGCTGGGGACGGCCGGGAATCGAACCCGCGCACCCTGATCGTCCGTCAGGTATGGTAAGTATCGTCGGCTACCACTGCACCACCGAATCTGCCATCTCAGATACTACAGCCCCCCAGAAAAGTACCCCGGGAGTGAAAATTTTGGATGCAAACATAGCCCTCGACCTTCCCTGGATGAAAGAGGAGGCCATGCAGTTTGGTTGCACTGGTTCCTGCTGGGTCCGAATGTATAAAGGAATAGACAGACAACCTTTCTTCTTTATAGAGAGAGATGTCACACCGATCCAGCCTCACAAAAGCACTTTCGTTCATTAGTAAGGTAAATGCCTAGATATGAACATGTCCAAGTCAATCGATTAATTGGCTTTAAAAGTATATATATAAATGATTTTTATTGGATCTCCTTTTTCTAATTTTACGTTTGTATTGAGACAATTCCACCATGTGAGATGCTCGGGAGAATTTCTTTTTCTTTTTGCTTGTTTGCTGCGGTAGACTTTAGGCCGGGCGTAATTTCAGCCACCCTCATATCTGCCCTAAATCAATAATTTTTCGCTGGTCTTAATGTATTTTGGGCAATTGGCTAAACTACTCAACGAACCATGATGAAGTACAGACAAAAAATCCCAACGGTAGATAAAAAACAAGGGATTGTTTTTTTTTTTACCGTGAAAGAATCCATTGAATCGAGGTTGATTTAATGTCGACACTTCCACCGTGAATAGTGCAGCATTGATTCAATGTTGAGTCAATGTACGTGTATAAACGGTGATGGTCACCGCGTTGAATCAATGTTGATTCACCATAGAAGTATAAACCTTCAACAGTGACCTTCAACATTCGATCCACACCAAATCAACGTTGAATCAATGTTATGTGCTACCTGGGGATAGGTAGCCGTCACAGATTCCTTGTGTCTCTGCTATAAAATTTTTCGGAAACTCTTTCTTGCTATTCTCCATGTGAATGGCATTGATGGATAGAGTTCTGCATGAACCATGGATCATGCTTTTTTCGTATTATTTCATGGAGCATACCCGCTACGACGGCATTCCCTGGCTTCTCTCGTGCGCTTATTACGTATGTTCCGCGCCTCACTTTACCTTATGGTGACTTCAGCGGAAGCATCGCCCAGGTTCCGCTTTCACCATTGAGATTGTATTAATATAAAGTTTCACATGCATAGACTGCAATGCTTCCTGCTCGGGGGCCTCCGATTCCTGGAACCTCAGAGGTCAAGACTCGGGAAAAAGAAGTTCCGATTCCGCACGGTTTCGAACAATGGTCCTCCGTCACGAGAGGCCCGACAAGCTTCCACCGAGCCGCTGACTTCCCCCTCCTTCCGTTCTCACTGTGTGTCGAAGTATCTCAGTTTTAGTCGCAAAGCGACGAAAGTGGCATCTGTAACTTTCCGAGGTTCTAAGCTTTCCATCGATACCGGATCCGTTCGGATTCGGTGAGCGGGAGTGGAGTAGTTCCCGGACAAACAAACAACGGTATTATTAAATTTATATAGACGAGCCAGTACCCGGTCCAATGACCCGACATGAAGATATTGGGAGGAATCAATGATGAATGCGCTCGCAATGTATTCGTGTCAGATTTCGTTTCCGCGTTTAATATTGCCCATTTGCTTAAATTTGATAGCTGAATTTTGCATTTCATTAGAAAGAAAGAGCTGATCAAATGAAGCATAAAAAATTATATTGTAGGCAATATTTTATGTGAAATGTGAATCATATCTTCTCCGCCATACAATAGCCTTTCTGAGAACTCCTGCTCCCGTTCCTCTCTCGTGTTCATTGATAGTTTCATGATCTTAAATAGTAGCTAAAGAGAGCTACATTTCTGGCAAGCAGCAAAGATGACTCACTCATTTCCGTGGCGAACGACGGAAAGAACTTGTTTATAGTCGCCACAAAGAAGCAATATTTTCCCGCCGAAAGGCACTTTGCCGTTCATTATGCCGGGAAGCATCCTGTCGAGGGTTCGATGATGGCGTAGGAAGGAACTATGGGCGCTTCATCCCATATCGAGAGCCGAGAAGACCTCAATTCATTTGCTTCCTGGGCTTGGGGACGGACATTGCAAGTTGAATTTTCAACAATCGGCACTGGAAATTTTAAAATGGAATGGGCAGTTCCTCCTCTCTCCAGCGAGGTTGCCGCTATTCCAGTCCATGAAGCAGACAGTTCGATTTTTCCTTCTCCAATCACGATATGAATACCACCGCGCTGCTAACTTAGCCCCACCTGGTTGCGACAGTCAATGCCGTAGCTCCTCGAGTTTTAGTTACGGAGCGACAAAAATGAGATCCGTAACTCTCCGAGGCTTCAAGGTTTCCGTCGATACCGGATTCGCTCGGATGCTATGAGCGGGATAGGAGGAGTTCCCGGGCAAACAGACAGACAAACAAAGGTAATATTATATAGATAACAAGTGTATGTTCGCGATATCTCGACACTCTTTCCTTTTGTCTCTCAAAAATTTCACACGATTTCTGCCTCTACCTTCTATCAGTCTCGTTCACAGCTAACACTGCTTTTGAAATCGATCTGGTGGTAAACCCTACGGATTAGTATAACACCCAATAATGACGTGTAGGGAATCCCCTTCACATCAACACCGAACTGGGATCAATATAGCACTTGGTGTTTAATCTGGTGTTACACCGGCGTGAAATACCAAGGAAAAATGGTGTTGCACCAACACCACAGGGCGAGTTGAAATTTGGTGTTGAGGAGTGGAGTCCGTGCTGCACGAAACATTAGCACAGCAAAGGCGCCTACTTCTAATAAATATTGGTGGGGGGGGGGGGACAAGTTTTTAATACCCCTGAAATAACTTTGACGGAATTATTCCGGAACCTTTGGAGTAGCTCAGTATTATTATGGTAGCATAGTGACGAGCCGGGGGAGTACTCAAAATAGAAAGGAATATCATATTTTTAATTTCTTTCGTGAAGCATGTTTCTTTTTCAATTTCCCATATGTTCTACTTTTGCTGAAATTTTGCCTTTTTTTGGGAGGGGGGTTGCCCCCTCAATAATATAGTGGGGGGTTGGTACGTGCCCCTTTGTCTGGGTTCGGTGCCTCTGTAGCACGGAACACCAACGCGGAATTTGAACTCACCTAATGTTCGATCAACATTTGCATCAGCAGCCTTCGGGCGAGACATATAAACAAAAATATCCTGACCACGTAATTAGTTTGCGACGATTAACCAACACAGGGAGTTACCGCATATTTGCTATCAGCACGCGTTCCCAGCATTTTTAGAACGGTACTTGCCATTTTCTCCATAGACGCCAGGGAAAGTATTTGTCTTCTTTTGTATTTGTCTTTGCCACTTTCGTCGAATATATTGGATAAATTCGACTAAAGTAGCAACCCAAACCAACAAAACCCAAGGTGATTCTGACCCGGGGATTGGAAACAAGAAAGTTATTGCGCTCCTGTCTCCATGAAACCACTCCGTCCTCTTTCGATGGAAAATCTGTCTTCATCCGCGCGCATGTACAGTATATGTGGAGTTAACGACCTACTATTACATAACTGCAATCACTCCAGTGTCATCCTGATTCTGGATGGGGTCGCCTCTCTATTATCTCGGTATGAAGTTCATGTTGGGCTTGGACGGGGGGATTTTTAAAACGCAAGTTCTGATAATTGAGATCGAGTCGAGGCATGAGACATTACAAGGTGTTTCACAAAAATGTTTGCCATTTTGAATTGCCATAACTATTTTTTTCGCTAGTGGAAAACAAGTTAGAAATGAACACCTCTAGCCCCAGAACAGCCTTGATGATGCCAATATACATTTTGTACCACTGCCTTCAGTACTTCCTGTGGAACGTCTCACACTGCCTGTTGACTTGTTTCCTTGAGTTCTGCAATGCCAAAGTTCTGCGGCTTGTCTTGAAGGCTTCATTCTCGCAAGGAAAAGTTGAGTGGACAGAGGTCCACATTTGTCTTGAGTGGCTGAGAGTTTCGCTTGGTGGCTCATTTCTCAGCGAGATGACATCGAATGGCTGGCTAGAGGTGCTCATTTCGAACTTGTTTTCCACTATGACAAAAAAATAGTCTCTCTGCAATTTGGTTTTTGTTGCGAGTGAATGCTCAAGATAGGAAGAAGTTAAGGCAGTTCAAAACGGCATACAATACATGAAACAACCTGTACTTCGGCTATGAAATTGCGCATGCGCAAGAATGAAACATCATGTTGAGACCTGTTTCGTTCTAACGTTGAATTATCCTTCATGGTTGAAGATGGTTGATGGAAATTATTTTTCAACATGGAATCAACTTTATCAAGCAAATGCTGAATCAGCATTGCAACGTTGCTGTTGAACATTGAATCAATATTGATGTAATGTTCATGTCGACTTGCCTCAAGGTTAACAAAAAAGTTCAATGAGGAATCAACATTGACTGACCAATGTTGTTTCAAAAGCAGCTGCATTGACGTTAAACGTTGAATCAATGTTGATTGACAGAGTGTCTACTTTTTGGGAGAAAACACATCATACACGTGCGTGGTAAAAAAATTAGATTTGGTCTAAAATAGCGAAATAATTGTTAATAATGCATGTAACGACAAAGAACTTCGTTTACCCGACACGGTGCTCATCCCCTCCTTCACAAATGACATTTCCTTTCCCATAGGGTTTAGCAGGGAAAATGGCTGAGGACCCGCTATTTAGCTTGCTATTATCGACCATTTCCAAATTATTGGAAAAATTCGAGGAAGGACAACCGTTTGTTACAAAGACTGTGAAGGAACTGCTTTTCGAAGGCTACTACATGCCATTCTTTGATAACCTGACTGCCGTTCTCGATGCATTTGGGTTGAATTCTGAAGAGATCTGGGATGCACATCTTCCTCCGGATATGAGAGACTTTCGCTTCGCATTCTACAGAGTGAGTGGACCCAGAAGATTTCCTTGTTTGATAGAAGAGACAGAAATATCTGCACGTCCTCGACTTTCCCAACGTAAACAGATGAATGAGACTGTGGACGGGCCATATCTAGTTGGAACGGGAGAAGAGGATCCCTCAGATTTCGGAAGGATTCATCTATGGCATGGACGACCCTACGTATTTAATGAACCTTGGGGTTCCCACGAATGTAATGCCATCAATGGCACTGATGGTACTGTCTTCCCTCCGTCCATCGACAAAGAGGACATTATCTACACTTTTGTGCTTCACTTGTTCAGGTTACGATCCCTCATTTTATTTGTAGAAGGTATATTAGTTCGATCTGGGAATTCACTCAATTAATACGGGCTGAAAATTCATTTAAATTAATCTAACTTCATAATTATAATCGAGGAGATTCATAGCTATCAATTGGTTCACGAAGCTCGATTTGGTATGGATTTTTTCCCTCAAGAAGTACCTAGCTCTCTCCTTTCTTAATCGAGCCTTTGCTACTGACACACCAGGAAAAGTTGTACTCGTTACTGGATGTAATTGTATTTCAGGTTATTATTTTATGGCAGACATGTCTCGCTAATTGGTTTCTTAGAACAAGTACGATAAATCGATGAAAATTCCAATTGTCTGATATATGCATCTGAATATTATCATTGTTGGCCAACATGGAATATATCTCAAAAACACAATCTTAAAAATGGTAGCTTCTCGTATAAGTGAAAAGACACTATGGGTTTCCTAATGTTCCTGTTTCCAAAGCTCTACCCAGGTAGCGCATACGATTGATTCAACGTTGATTTGCTGCGGATTGAATGCATCACTGTTGAAGCTTTATACTTCTACTAGCGTGGTTTTTTTTCTGCAGCATCCCAATAGGTAGTTATGTACCAAGATTCATCTTTCCACACTAGCTCAATACGCCAGGACAAAAAATACTTGAAAACGTCGGCTCACATGCCCCCAGGGTATGGATCTACAAATTTGCATTTTTCCTGAACTCATCGTCTCGGTAGGCAAGTCCATGCTAAGTTTCAGCTTTCTATGTCTCTCCGTTTTACTCAAGCAAAAATAATGTTATGGTGGGGGAATGAGTAACAGGACATGGAAGGCAAAAAAGCCAATAGAAAGCCATAGAATGGCCGGGAAATGAACCCGGACCTTCTGATTGCCAGTCAGAGATGCTACTACTACACCACAGAACAAAACACATCCAGGAGACTCTCTGAATGCCATCCTCATCTGTCACAATATATATTTCAGGAAAACGTTTCTCCCCAAAATTTGTACCCCCAGGGTATGTACCTCCAAAGTGGGATTTTTCCTGAACTATGCATCCCGAAAGGTACATGTGTACTAAGTTTCAGATTTCTAAACTTTCTAGAACATGGTTAGAATTAGCGTCAGTCAGTCACGATCGTCTATATACAGTATATTAGATGTTGAATCAACATTGACTCAACGTCACCCTTGAGTCCAATCTTCCAGAAAATTTTCTAATAAGAAAATGCTCGATTTGTGGCAGATTAGAAGGTTGTTGAAATTACGACTGGCCCAAATTCTACGGCAGCAACAAAAAAAAAGAAAAATAAGAACAATTCTCGAGAGCATCTGACATGGTGGAATTGTCTTAATACAAACGTAAAATTAGAAAAAGGAGAGTCAATAAAAGTAATATATATTTAGCTATTCTTAAGCTAATTAATCGATCAACTTGAATACTTGTTGACTGATGGCCTTACTAATTACTTACTTATGAAATACTTATGAATTTCTTACTTACTACCTTACCTTACTAATGAATTGAAGTGTATTTGTGAAACTGGATCTGTGCGACCCTTAACACTGAACTTTAAACTTAAATTTTCTTTGGTGGGGCGCCGAATCTAATCGAATGTATCACTGCTGTTTTATCTATGTTACACCAACATTAATTCAACGCGTTGACCATCACCGTTCATCCACCCACATTCATTCAATCCTGGAGCATTCATGGTCAAAGTATCTGCGGTAACTTAGTTTTTTTTAAATGCTTATTCCAGCAGTGTTTGCAATTAGTTCAGCCGATCTACCAATAAGTATTTCTTTCAAGAGGAACGTTCGAATTAGAGCAAATAAGACAGTGGCTGAAAGACACTCGAATTTCATCGCATCAAAAACGCAGAATGGCATTTTCGGCTCGCATCACTAAGAGCAAGTTTAGTGTCATGTGTTTGAGGAGCAGACAACAGGACCAGTATCCAGTGTTGCTGAAAGGGACTAGACCAGCTAGCCAGAGGTTTTTTGAGGACAAGTTTTGTGCTGTGCATGCTTATTACTTATCAACGAATATCTTCACATTCCAGCCCATCCCATAGAAATCCATCGAAGTAACATAATGTTGATGTAACTATCTTCAAGAGATTGAAGAGTAAGATTTGGTTTTCTTCCAGGTCCATTCACTTCAAGTATGAGAAAGACGTGGAAGTCGGGGGTCACCTAGGATATCGGTTCGTTATTCACCCCGATGCTGTCGCGTCAACAGATGTTCGTCCGGAGAACGAATGCTTCTGTGTGAACGGCGAATGCCTCGGAGCTGGACTCCTTGACGTCTCTGCAAGCGTCTATGGTAACTGTGCAACTGCTGGATGCTTCAGCATGAGCACTGAAGATTGCCATGTCGACATTTAGACACGTAGCCTTTAAACTATGTCCAGGAAAACCCGTGATCATGTCCTCTCCTCATTTCTACGTACCGGAAGGCGCAGGAGAAACTGGATTCAATGCATCCCTCATCCATGGAATTTCACCCAACAAGGATTCTCACGAGACTTTTATCGTCGTTGAACCGGTTCGAATGATGCTACAAGATTAAAGAGTTGAAAGGAGCTGACTCAATTTACCTGTGCTTTGCGTTTTCAAAATTATGTTTCAGAGTGCCGGCTTCATATTGGAAGCAAGGAGGAGGCTACAGACCAGCATCAAAGTGCGATCGATTGATGGTTACCGAACATTCGAGAACTTCCCCGCAATGGAACTCCCTGCATTCTGGATGGAGGAGGTGAGAGAAGTTTAATTTGTTGATGAACATAATATTGCTTACTGTAATGTAGGGACTTACATCATAACCATCATCAGATGGAATCACAAAACATAATCTAACCAATTAATAGAGACCTGCATTTAAGTCACATGAGTAAAATAATGAAATATAATAATTATTAGTTCCCACATTAATTGCCTCGCTGCCGCTCGATTGCTCCTGCAAGGCTTTTTATGATTAAAAGAACATGAAACATAGAGACCAGGTATGAAAACACTTTCCTAAAGTGCACTACTGGAACTGGCGATAAGGTTCCTAGGCTTTTTGTGGTCGATCATGGTTATTCTAGTTTTTTTCCTTGAGATAGGTGTGAAGTGACACGCGTTTAACATTATATTTTTGGCACTCAGAAGCCATATAAGTGTTTCACTGTTTGATTTAGCTTGGTCCATTTTGCTTTCATGTATGTAGGTAGGCAAATGCAAATTTTTAAACCTAAAGACTCCAGTTGTACTTTCAATTCTCATTAATAAATGAATAAATTTCATTCACATCATAAGAAGCAGGCATGAAGGTGAACCTTCTTTCCTTGTCATTTTGTTACCATCTAATTGCACTACATTAAGCCAGATGCTGTAATTTCCCCAATGAATTACAGGTTGAAACTTTTGTCTTTTTCCTTGTTACTGCCAGATAACGGGCTCCAAAGCCCCACAAGTAATAAACTATTGCAATGGAACGAGAGGCAGATATTAGGTGCTGATGTTGTAATGGCCTTTCACCGAAGCTAGGGGAAGAAGGGTTCAATACATCATATCGGGAATATTTTCACACTGAATATCATGTCTATCCAGGTTTCAACGTATTCTTCGTAAATGAAATTGAAAAATCAATATGAAAGATTTCCGTGGAAGTGGATTATTTAAAATCAAGTTACTCACCAAAAACTCTTGCTTTTTCTGTAGAGTGCTGATCTCGTCCAAGGAAAAGAGAAAATGTTTCAACAGACCTCGCCTCGACGACTGCAGAAGTCATTCTCGTGACGAGTCCCTTTCCAATTCCTCAAAATTTCATCACCTGCTGCAATTCCAATTTCAAACTCTTATTTGAGACGTAAACATGGATAATATTATCAGGTGCCACAAGCTTGGTGCCACTTCATAGGTATTCCTTACTTCGCCAGTTCAAAAGAACTGGCGAAGTAAGGAATACCTATGAAGGATGTAAGGAATACCTATGCATTCTAAAAACGGATTATGTTAATCTTTCCGTGTCAGACATTCATTCAGTTCGTACGTTCATTCAGTGATGAAACATTAATTTTGGGATGGTATCCCAACAGCGGAATTATAAAAGACAAACGAACGAGATGCAGAAAGCACGTCAAGTTGAAAGTGATGACAGAGTGAAGAAATGGAATGCAGACTAGTTGGAGCATGAAAAAACTAGAAGATCGAACGACTAGGAAGAACGAATGTGATTCTCTTGTTGGTAAGCGATGGAGGTTCAGGTGACCAGAAAGGCAAGGAAATGCCTGCATTTAATTTGATATGTCTTCGAGAGGAGCAAGGTGAGATGGCCTGTCTATTGGAATGTTCGTCATCGCACTCTGGTTGGGGACTGTTTCATAATAGGGTTAGCGTACAATATTGCCCTGTGATACCAGGACTCCAAACCGAGTCTTGTATTTCCAGTAATAATAATTTCCTATCAATCAACTGAACCTCAAAGGACACACAAATATTCACTGTAACTATTCACAATATATCTTCGATATTTCCCTTATATTCTTGACTGGAAGCTACAGTCTTTCAGTCTGCTACTCAATTAAACTGGACGAACGCGGTTCAACTCCTCTTCCAGCATGAGCTTGAATTGATTCAAGCAATGCAAGGTGCACTATGGCAGGCAATGCAACCTTTTGAAAATCAAGACATGTGACTTAGAGAATGAGCCCTGCTGAAGCATACAAGATTGACCTCCAAAAAGACGCTGACAAATAGGTATGAAGTGATGGGAAAACATATTTTCCAATGACATTCTCATTCTTCAACCCCACCCACCCTTCTCTACGGAACTCATAAACGATAGGAGTTCCTCGAACAACGTCATATAGGTCTACTGAGGGAATGCCTCCAAGAAGCATGGAATCGATGGTGCTCGCCATCAGGGATATCCGTATGATATATTTCGATATCCCACCACAGTGATCAATCTCCGCTAAGCACCGCTCCATTCTCAGCTTAACTCATTAATTCAGCACGAATGTGTCTCATGCATTAAGAAACGGAAGATTCAGACGCCGATACGAAGGTTGTAGTAGTCTTGAATCTGGGGAGATTTAGGCACCGTACCAGCGCAAGCCTAATAAAACGACAATTAATTTCACTTTTATTGGCAAAATAATGCATCATAAACAACCAAAGGGCCACTTTTCGTCATCTACGTATCAATATCAGTGGGCGCGGATGCGCCTAATTACCTTTATTCAACCCCTTCGGGCGACAAAATTCAACCGTCTCGTATTCCACTCGGACGATGTCAACAAGAACTAAATTTTGCATACTTCTTCCTCTCTCAAAACAAACTAGCTCCAGCAAATTTGAAGACTGTTGATGCTGTCAGAGAGGAATATGTGGAGGTTGCATTTTTGCTACAGGAGGAGGTTGAAGAAAGGTAATAGGCACTACAGTGGAACTCATCACTCCTGTTTTTCCTTTTTATCTGGGCACGCAGTGATAGAAAAGTCACATGTGGTGTACGCATTTATGTAATGTGAGAATAGGATAAGATTATGCGTGTGCACAAAAGCACTTTGAACTGCATTCTGCCGAAATCGATGAGAAACCGCTCACTCGCTCGGCGTTCCTGTCGCTCTTCGGAAAACTTCTCATTTAACATATGGAGTGGGCCAGAAAAATGCCAACACATGTCGAGTGGCATGCATCCTTCAAAAATTCCTAGACGAGCAGCACATACTGTATATCTGGCTAAACGGAGTTCATCGGAACTATCGGGGCATCCACCAGCCCTCAACTCTCCGAAGCTAAATACACACTTTTTCCATTTTTTTTCGCACATAGTCAACTCTCGAGAGATTTCCACTCTGGGTGCCCCCCCCCCCTCGCTTTCCCCCAGCTCTTTCCTCAGGACAAATCTTCATCAATTTATAACAGGCGATACCATGTTATAGGGCAGCTCGACCATGCCGCCACTCACAAACACTATCATTGGTAAAAATATCTATTTATTTTTCACAGAAATCATCCTCCATATTTCCCAACGATTTCACTTACTATGAACTCACGAAACGATGCCCAGAGGGGATGCACCATGAAAGTTGAATACTCCCTTAGCTCAATAATATCATGTCACTTATACGTTTGCTAAGTTTCACCTTTCTTTTTCTGTCCAATTCGCCACGACAATTTTTTTTTCAAAACATCTTACCTCGAAAAATTCCCGAAGGGATGTATAGAGACTTAACATTTTCATTTAATTCCTCTTCTCAGTTGTCACATTCATGCAAAGTTCCAGCTTTCCATTTTGATCAGCTTAACTGATGCAAAAAATAGTAGGAGAAAACATGTCCCTTTGAAATGTGTGCCCCCAGGGCATTTACTTCCAAAAGTCTGCAGCATCCCAATAGGTAGTTATGAACGAAGGTTCATCTTTCCACACTAGCGTAATATGCTAGGACAAAAAATACTTGAAAACGTCGGCTCACAAAAATATGCCCCCAGGGCATGGATCTAAAATTTTGCATATGTGAAATATACTTCATGAGCGAGTTAGTTTGCTCCTTGTGTTAACAAACTCACTATGTACGAGCCTTCGATTACGATTCTCGCACATTCAAATGGTGTAAAACTTCCCCGAAATGTTCCCTTGGAGTTTTTCACTCTTATTGTGTCTCTTATTGCTAAACTGTAAGAATTCCTTGAGCAAATATATGCAAGGACACCCGATATCCAAACTCAAAGAGGAATATTGAGTGTGCCAGGACCTCAATCTCATGAATTTTTTTAGCCCTATTTTCCGAAAATCTTTCGATAAATTGGTTTGTCTTTTCTCTATCCAAATGCCCCATGATCTTGGATGGAAATGGTTGGGGTTATGAGATTATCAATTGCTTCATTATTCAAGGCCTGTTTGCTATTGACAGCATTATTCTCGAGGCAGAATTAAAGGCGAGAACTTATTCCGTGTACTTCAATTGGCTGCCATTTTCCTGTAAAATTCATGCATTCCATATTAATGTATTATTAGTTAATTATCAATATATTTTTTACTCATGAAGTGGGATATAATAAGACGTATAAAGGTTTCTTAGAAACCCCTAGTCCATATGGAATGCAATGATGCAAAAAATAAAAAGGAGAATCTAAAAGCATATCATGTTTTCCAATTCGCGGAATACGAACACAAAAAAGTGAAAACTAGTGGCCTGCAACAGCTACGCTGGCCGTCTAGTGGGCGGAAATTTAACAAAGTTTACATAAATGTATGAAGCAGTTCGGTTCAAACCAAGCGCTAAAACTGTTGAAACTATCCTCGAATAGTTTGAAAGTGTGAAAAGTTTGAAAGGAAAATGAGCTCCTCTTTTTCCATATGAAGACCATGAAGGCAATCACATAAATGATTTGTGACTGATGGAAACATGTTTCTATACCATCGGGCGTATTTGGTTAAAAGTTCCAACCTCTACGACCTCTAGTTATTTTTTAAGAAATATTTTCCGGAAACTTTTGGAACACCCCTAGTACTTGCCCGATTAGAAGAAGAAGCAGCAAGGGTATAATTGAAAATTAAAGTCAAGAACACAAAATTTGGTGTCAAAACTGATTAATGAAGCTAATTAGATTGTATAATCTATAACACTTCCTTGAACACGACATTGTCAGTTGAAACGTCATTATCGGTCGGGCTTTGCCTTTGCCCAAGCGACCACTTGGAGTTTTACAATACAATGTGAAATATAATGATGTGAAATGTGGTTCCATAAGCGAACGTAGAACTTCACAGTAGCAGCCTCTGCGCGATGGTGAACATCATAATTCATTTGCTAAATTAGCGAAAGTGATAATGAGACGAATTACAGAAATGATAGAATCGACAGGAAAGTGATTCGAGTCTTCTTTTGCTCTCATTATGGAATCCCTAAAAGCCATATACAATATAATGAATCTTGTGGCCTCTCGATAAAATTGTGCACTCCACGTCCTTCCCCGTCGAAGAAACCCAAGAAGGAAGTGATGACCGTATCCCGATCGGAGCAGATCACGATTTGTGGGAGTTCCAATGCCTCCATTTGCAGGACCAAATGCTGAGTGATTGTGGGGATTCCAAGGTATTTCTCAAAATATCCCACTACCTACGAGTTGCATGCACATGTATAAGCAATTAAAAGTGCTAGAAATTGATTTTTATGCCATTTTTCACTGGCACATGAACTCGAGTCAAGTTGTGTGACATTTTGCGCCTTTACCAGGACGAAAAAAACCTCATTGGGATCTGAGGTAATATCAAGGTAACTGTCTGGTATTCATGTCTACCGTGCACATGATTCTGTTTGTTTTATATATGAAAATATAAACATTATTGTTAATGTGGGAACAAATGCCAAATATGCTGGTAGATTTCTATATTTGCCAAGTTTGCCCGATGCTTCCTATTATATAATAATACTTTCGGCTTCACATCGACATGATCGACGCTAGGCAAGGCTCCATGCTCAAAGAAGGAAATATGAAGATAAAACAAATCCATTCCTAATAGTCTACAAATGCAATGGATTCTCGATGGCTAGGGTCCCTCTCTGTGACTGTAGAACCTGGAATCCTTCCTTGGAACTTGGGCTCCAAACTCTTCTTGCTACTAGGGAAAACCATGCATTTAGTAAGTAGGGAGCCCTTGGGTCAAAGTCAGAAAAATTGGGGATTCCACTTGGAATCCCGACACCATGCCCCCTGTGCCTGAGAATCACTTGCTCTTTATTTCATTAGACTGGGAATGTCGTTTTACAAACATAGTAATGCTGGTTCTGTGGATTGCTGTCTTTCCAAGAAGATACTGTCATGACCCCACAATCCTTCCCGAAATCTTCCGTTGGATATTCCTCTTCCCATCGATCCAATTCGAGCAAGCTCCCATCCACCCACTTCCATACTCCATCCGCTTTCCTCAACCCGATCCACACTTCATCGTACTCCACCGAAAATTCGTCGAAGACCGTCTCGAACGTCTTGGCCAGGTCCACCTGCTTCTGCTCGTTCCCTCCGATCGCGATCAAGTCTCCGTCGGGGTAGGTTCTGCAATGCTCCCTGGCTCCGTCAAAGTCTCGCCGAATCCAATCTCCTTGTTCTTGAGGAAGGAAGAAGCACCTCCGTCCATTCACATACTCGAAGCACTGAAACGGCCCCGCGCTGGGAGTATCGGAGGATTCGCAGACGAATGGCTTCTCTTCCCTCTCGCATTTCCGGTTCTTCCACCGATCCGCGACGACGAGGATCCCGCATCCAGCTCCGCACGTCAGCATCTCGACGTCTCCTTCCTCCCAGAATTCCTGGTAATCCGTCGGGCTGCCGTCCATGAACTCGAAGTTCCAGATGGACTCACCGAGCGGCGCTGTGGTCCTCGCCCCGATCCAAAACGTGGACCGTGCATGGCTTTGCACGAATTCCTGTTCTTCTCGAGAATGGATACTAGCGAGAGTGCATTGCTCTGCTGCCTCTGCGAAGGACAATTTCTCGTCCGAGAAAAAATAGCAGCTGTTTGTCCCGTCTCGACCGAAGTAGCCGGAGGGGCAGCGGGACTCCATCATGTAGAGTATCTTGAACCGATGTCGTTCGTTGTTCTTGTCGTTCGAGACGAATTGCATGAGACCGATTCCGTCTAGTAGATGGCCGATGGGACCTGGCGGGATTTCCCCGCAAAATCTGGTCGTGGAACCCGTTGGGTGACTCAATGAGACGAATTCCATCGCTCCGTAGCAGTCAATAATAGACCACTCGACGTTGAACTCTTCGATGAACAGATGGATCTTCCTCCAACCGCTCTGCGGATGAGAATGAAACCATGTAAGCGTTTTCTTGATTCCGTGGTTAGATCCCCGAAAATTCTAAATATCAGATATACAAAATATGAACGAAGATTCGCATTTTTTGTCCTCTTACGCGCATGCACCCGAAACCAACAAGCAGAAATGTGTTTTCTCGAGACTCACGCGAAAGGTCCAGGCGCAGGTGACGTTGGCCGGGTATCCGTCGGGGTAGCCCGGGGAGTAGATGATCCCTGCCGACTCCGTGATGTCGCCTCCGCACGGCTCTTGGCTTCCGCTGATTCCGGCCCGGGCGAGCAGCATCAAGGAGATGGGGACGAGAAGATAAGCGAGGGCTCCAGGGAATGGTGGCTAGATGGAAGTGTGGATGACGTCATTTATGTGACGTCATCCACACAGGAATATACTGGACGGAACGTTGCTTCCGAAAATCTCTCTTCGTGGCAGTTTCGCAGGCAAGACTTCAAATCGACTGGAGGATCGTTTGTGCGGAATTTCTTCGAACAGGAATATATCCTGCAGTGGCGACTCGGATGACGATCGAAGGGAGGTCCAGCGTTCTCAAAAATCCATAGGAGGCAATTTCCCATACAACTTGGAAGCATTCATCGAGAAACAACCGAAAGTGATCTCTCAGAGCCTTTGGATTCATTCGAAATAGATGGAAAATAAGCGGAATCATGCGGACAGTCGAATGCAGTTGTGAATCGTGGATGGGAAGACGAAGCCTGGAGGTCTCCGTGGTCCATTGACGAACCATGGTTGTAATATGTAAGATAGCAACACCTGCTACATGAGGGCAGGAAAGACAAACACGTATTTTGTATTTCGTGCTTCCATCAATGCTACGTTGAAACGAGTCACCACTGGATCGGTTATTGTTTCCCCCGCTTCTGCATCGATCGTCGAGAGTTCACGGTATCCTGAAAAAAGGACCAACGACGAAAGACGAGAGCTTACCATGGTCGCGAAAAGGAACTGCCCAGGAGAGAAACGTTTATCTTCGTACTGACTCGTGCGACTCGGCGGACTGCCTCGCCGGCCCGAGTTCTCAGGGCGCGTGCACGCGTGACGTGAGGCGGGGCAAACTGATTATCTCGCACGTGCTCGGCTTCTCACGCTTCTGCCAACCTTCCAGGGAAGGAAATCTGCGGAGCGAGGAGACGTACTTCGTTGGCGACTCTCGCGCACCGAGGTTCTCTAAAATTCGAAAAAAAAAATTCATTAAAAAAAGACCAGAATTACGGCACCTCATTTTTTTAATGTGGCATTGTTTGAATCTGTTGAATTTTAGCATCAAGTGCAAAAGACCAAATAATTGCCAATGAGATGGTCGCAACATTTTTGAAGGACGCACCAAGATATGAAAGACGAACGCATGCATTACAGCTGCAATTCCATTCCCAGCAATATACGAGTTATTCAGTTTCAAGCGACCGATATCTATCATTTTGATCCTATTAATATTGTTCGACATAGAAAAAAGATTCATTTCGCGACGAAGTATTACGGTCCTGCGGAGGAAGCTTTCCTCTTGATCAAAATACAATCGAATCCGAATAGAAATGAGAATAGCCGTGAGACACAGGTCTTCTGCCTGACTCTAACTTAGAAAAAGTTCTGATATGCAAGTATGTCCTTCCCTCTAGTGTTTGGTCAAGAGTAAAAAAATAGTAAGAAGTGGCAAAGGTAAAATGTGGCCCGAAGGGAAAGAAGTCTTCCATAGAGCGGTTCACTGAAGGCTGCTTCTCCGTGTCCCTCCCTAGACAGAAGAGCCCCTTCGGCCAGACCAGTCATCTCGTGCCGTGTCGGCTGAACTGTCGTGATATCTTGTTTCCTTCAGATTTCGATCAGATATGAAGCAAAAGTGATTCAGAAGTATTTTGCTTCCTCAACAGGGACCGTTACATGGATTCCAATTAACTCCTTCAACGTCTGAGTGTTTTACTTGAAGGATCGTAAGTGTCATATGGAGGATGGACCTTCATTGTTCATGGATATTGGGTTCCGGAACATTAGCGAACTGACTTCGCTCGTTACGTCGTGCTGGAAGGAAAGAAAATCGTTCGAATCTTGAACAAAAAAATAATTCAACCATATCCGATTGTAGGTGTCGATGTCATTGACAATTACCGATTTTGCGAGCTGCAAGAGGAAGCATTATTGCCATTTTATCGGACGAATCAGGAAAGTTCGCAAAAGTGGGGTGGGTGGTAGCCCTTGAAAAACTTGGAGATTCCATCCACGACAACGGAACATTTCGCTTCCTTTGGTTTCCAGCTGGCTTACCTACCACCTGTAAATATTTTAATATGTTCTGACAAGAAGCTGCGGAAGGTTTCTATTTACGTGACTTGACAGGTGGAAGCCAATGAGTTGTCATTTTTTCAAAATGTATCAGTTACAAAAATCCATTTGACTCCTTGTCTGCCACCGCTACTCCGGAGGCTGCTGTTTCCACAGACAAAAAGCCAGAACAGGGAGCCAGTGAGACTGACGGCCGGGGGGGGGGGGGGGGGGGGGGGGGGGGGGGGGGGGG